TGTTTAGTTTGTTATTCTAAAGGAGTTTAAAGGGGCTGATCAGAGCCGAATGTGGAGCTGGAAAAGGCCCAGGTCTGATTTAAACTTGACTATGGAAAAATATATTGTCAAAAATCAACATTTGCAGCAAAACCACTCACGGGAAGTGTTTTTTGTTTGTTTGTTTGTTTCTTTAATAACTCTGTTCGGGGTAAAATGTTGCCACTCTGACAAATCAATAGAGCGTAAAAGAAAAACTGGATGTGTTTCTGTTTTCCTTTCAGTTAAATTTGCTTTCTCTTCTCAAAAAAGTCTGTTTTTTTTGTTTTTTTTTTTTTACGCGGGTGAAAAGGAAATCACTGTTTTAAAGCGGTTGCCATGGTCGCAGTTGAATCTTTAAACCTCGTCCCCGAACAAAACGCCGCCGCCCGAGTCCGACCAGGAAGAAAAATGATAAACTTCACCTAAAAAATGCAAGATATTTTTGTGAAATCTTAAATATAATAAACGTGGACCCTGTTTTAGTCAAATCCACGTTGACGTTCAGAGGCTTTTAAACGACACTGCAGAACAACACGTAATAAATAATAATAATAAATACAGAGTTGTATAATTCTATAAATACATTTTACATACAAAAATACAACAGAAGTACAGATCACAGTCGGGTCCAATCCCTGTGTCGTTTGTTCATTTGTTTTTCAAAATAAAACCAAAAATAAGAAAATGAAGAAAAAAACTCCAACTATTTTCTTCGTTATTTGTCTCCAAAACCAAAATGAAAAAAACAGATGAAGATTTGTTTTTCCAGTTTTCGATTTTGTGTTTAAATGAAAAATAGAAAAAATGGATAACGACCGTTTCCCGTTTATAAGACTGAACGGTTTTCAGTCCTGATCCTGTTCCCAGTCTTGGTCCCAGCCTCAGTCCTGGTCTCAGTTGTGATCTGGTCCTGGTCTGGTCCTGGTCTCAGTCCTGATCCTGTTCCCAGTCTTGGTCCCAGCCTCAGTCCTGGTCTCAGTCCTGGTCTGGTCCTGGTCTCAGTCTCAGTCCTGATCCTATTCCCGGTCTCAGTCCTGGTCTCAGTTCTGGTCTGGTCCCGGTCTCGGCCTCAGTCTCGGTCCCGGTCTCAGTCTTGGTCCCGGTCTCAGTCCTGGTCTCACTTCTGGTCTGGTCCCGGTCTCGGCCTCGGTCTCGGTCTCAGTCCTGGTCTCACTTCTGGTCTGGTCTCGTTGTCAGTCACAGTCTCAGTCCCAATCTCAGTCCTGGTCCTGGTCTGGTCCTGGTCTCAGTCCTAGTCTCAGTCCTGATCCTGTTTCCAGTCTCTGTCCTGGTCACAATTCTGGTCTGGTTCCGGTCTCGGTCCCGGTCTTGGTCCCAGCCTCGGTCCTGGTCTCAATTGTGGTCTGGTCCTGGTCTGGTCCTGGTCTCAGTCCTGATCCTGTTCCCGGTCTCTGTCCTGGTCACAATTCTGGTCTGGTTCCGGTCTCGGTCCCGGTCTTGGTCCCAACCTCGGTCCTGGTCTCAATTGTGGTCTGGTCCTGGTCTCACTTCTGGTCTGGTCTCGTTCTCAGTCACGGTCTCAGTCCTGGTCCTGGTCTGGTTCTGGTCTGGTCCTGGTCCTGGTCTCAGTCCAGGTCTGGTTCTGGTCTGGTCCTGGTCTCAGTCCAGGCCTGGTTCTGGTCTGGTCCTGGTCTCAGTCCAGGCCTGGTTCTGGTCTGGTCCTGGTCTCAGTCCAGGCCTGGTTCTGGTCTGGTCCTGGTCTCAGTCCAGGTCTGGTTCTGGTCTGCTCCAGGACCTGGTTCAGTCCTTTATCTGTTTTTTTTTTTCCATTTTTCATTTAAACACAACATCAAAAACTGAAAAAAAACCGAATCATTTTCTGTTTTTTCATTTTAGTTTTGGAGACAAATAATAAAGAAAATTGTCATTTTTTTCCGTTTTCTTATTTTTAGTTTTATTTTGAAAAATGGACGACACACGGATCGGGTCGTTCAAAACCGTTTAAATAAACCTCGAGGCTGGACTCTGCACACGGACACAGGAGACGTGAAGGCGCTGGACCTTCTTCTACAGACTGGAGGAAAATACTACAGATATTTACTGTACGTGGTAGAAGCAGCTCTTGTGTTCAAATAAGTCAACAGTGCGCCGTTAGCATGCTAGTAGTTAGTTTTAGCGTCAGGGAAAAACTCAGCGACTCTCGACTCGCAGAAAGACGTGAAAAGTGTTCAGAAACTCATCTCGGAACGTAGAATTTGAACCACTGCAAACTCTTTTAAATGAATTAGTTCAGTTTTTTTTTTTCTCGTTTTAAGACGGTAAAAATCGGATCCAGCGCCTGTAAAACTTCACGACGGCCAACTCCAAAACTACTCCAGTCCTCACCGCACAAAACACGACTTTAAACGTTTTAGTCGTACTTTATAATATTCACAAAGGCAACTCTATAGTGGCTCTAAGGCTACGTTCAGACTGCAGGGCTTAACGCTCAAATTCAGCGAGGTCGTTCACATTTCCAGTTAAATGTGACTTGTATGTGACTCCAGTGTGAACATTAAACGGTCCAAAAGTGTCCCACATGTGACACTGGAGACACGACGACGTCAACCGCAGCGAGCGTCTCTGTGTTTACAGGAAGTTGTCCAAACATGGACGCAGCATCGAGCACCTGGAGATTTTAAAGTTCCTCTCGTACCGGAGCCAGAACATGAACAACTTACTTGTTTTAAGGAGGAGATTGAGAAGGAGAAGGACGAGGTAATAATCCGTGTATCATTCGTTCATTCGTTTTTCATATATTTTTGTCTCCAAAACTAAAATGAAAAAACGGATAACGATTTGTTTTTTCAGTTTTCGATTTTGTGTTTAAATGAAGAATGGAAAAAACGGTTAACGACCCGTTTACGTGACTCCCGTAAGTGCGATGCCGAAATTTTACACTGCATACGGACTGAACCAGGACTGATCCAGGTTCGAGACCACACCAGGACCAGAGCGGGACTCAGACCGGAACCAGACCGGGACCAGACCGGAGGCTCGGAGTCAAAGCTTGGAGTCCGCCCTGGTCCTGCTCTGGTCCCGGTCGGTCTCGGACCTGGATCAGTCCTGGTTCAGTCCGTATGCAGTGTAAAAGTCCGGCATCACAGTCACGTAAACGGAAAACGGTCGTTATCCGTTTTTTCCATTCTTCATTTAAACACAAAATCGAAAACTGAAAAAACAAATCATTATCTGTTTTTTCATGTTGGATTTAGAGACAAATAATGAAGAAAACTGTTGTTTTTTTGTTTTCTTCTTTTTGGTTTTATATTGAAAAACGAATGAACGAATGACAGACGGATGTGCTTCACTTCAGTTCATTAACAATTTTCACCTCCTTCAGCGCAGAATAGTGACGTTTGTGTCTTGTTGATAACGTGTAGGTGGATGAATGCACTTTGGCCGTTCAGACTGAAGTCACATGTTAAAGATCAGATATGTATCAGTTTCAGGAGCACATATCCAAGTGTCCTGGGTCACATTTGAAAAAATCAGATCTGTGTGGTTCAGACTGACATTAAAAGATCAGATACAGGAACATAGAAGCCAAAAAATCAGATCTGGGTCACTTCAGGTGCAGTCTGAACGCAGCCTTAGTCGTGGTTTTAGTTCTGACTCTTCCGGGTTCACGCTGGGAGGTTTCCGGGGCAACGGTTTTATCAGGGAACTTTCCACATGAGCGTTAGGGAGCATCATTTGACCAAGTTTCTGAAATTTTTTTGAAAATCAATCTGTACCTAGTATCAGTTTTTTACACTTGCCAAAGTAAAGTTCCATAAGAAATTTTATGAAATTCTCTTGATGTTTTCTGGGTCCAGCGAGACTCTGGAGTTCAGTGTCTGCAGAATCTTTAAATCTGAGCTGAAACATCAGTTTTTCTTTAATAACATCAAAAATCATTTATTTAGCCCAGTAGTGTCAATGGAAGTTGAATATAAATCTGGACATGGTGGATCGTTTGGTTCATCATTAGTTTCTGAGATTTGACAAAAGTCTCATTTCTTTGGAGCTTCAAGGACCTTGAATAAGCGACAGGTCCTGAATTGTAACAAATGTAAGACCTAAAACACGTTATTGAACTTGAAATGAACACATTTGGAGCTCAAAGACTTGAAACTGTGAAAAGTAAAATCTTTAATACATGTATTATTCTATTATGACCATCCGTTATCAGACGTTTTCACTGTAAAATACTTCAAATCATCAATAAGAAACAGGTTTGTGCATAAATACTGAAATATCGATATATCGTATCGTTTAATCTGACAAGTCTCTGACACTACAGAAAGAACAAACTTTGTCTCTCATTTCATCTTTGGCCTTTGTGGATTTTGTATCATTATGAAAAAACACTCAATCTTGATAAAACGGTCGCATCTTAGAAAGTTTTGGAAATAAAGATATAAAACTGGAACCAAAAGATGCACAACAGCAACATTTATATTCAACTTTCATCGACACCACGGCCCTAAATGGATTATTTTTATTATTTATTTTATTTTTATTTTCTCGCCTGGTGAGAATTTATTAGAATTTTTTTTTTTTTTTTTTTTTATAAATTCTCGCCCGGTGAGAAAATACATGTTTGGGTCTGATTGACTCGCCCTAAGAGAGCGGGAAAGAAAAAATCCTTTTCTTTGGGTCAATGTGACCCCGAGGAGAGCGTGAGGGCTAAAGAAAAAAGAAGAAAAAAAGATTATTATATTATAGACATGAGGGAACAACATTAGAACATGATAAAGATAAAACTAGGTTAGACTTAGAACTTAGAGCTACAAGAGTCACTTTTGTTTAATACTTGGACTTTTAAACGTTCGACTTTTCGCTTTTCCGTGTTTTTAACGGTGAATTATGGCAGAATCTGAGGCTTTATGAACAAAACAAAGATATTCAAACAAAATAAATCAACATAAACACAGAGGAATCCTGTTGTGGTGAGTGTGGTTTCCCCCCGTGACCCCGTGACCCCGAGCGCGCCGTCAGCACACCCCGGAGAACAGCTGGATTTTGACGGGCTCCTCCGCTGGGCCCCGGGTCTCCTTCCTGCACCTGTCCGTCCACCTGACGCTCCTGTCGGCCGCCGTCTCCGTGCTCTCGGGCGCCGCGCCGTTCCCGGGCAGGTACAGGGCGTTTCCGTGGCGATGGTGGCGGCGGCGGTGGTGTTGGTGGAGGTTGGTCTGGTCCGGGTCGTCCTCCCTCTTCCTCCTCCTGCGCTCCGGCTCTGAACCCGGGACCCGGTCTGGACCCGGTACCCGGTCTGGACCCGGGACCCGGTCTGGACCCGGGGCTCCTCTCCTCAGACTGTCCATCTCCAGGATGAGGGCGGGGCGGGTCTCCTCCAAGGCTCCGCCCGCTCCCACGCTCCTCTTGGGTTTCCCGCTGCGGCTCCTCAGGTTCATCTGGAATCAGACACTTCCTGTTTACGTTTGATTTGATTTGGAAAAACTATAAAAAAAAAAAAAAACATTTGTGTGTGAAGCTGCGGCTAAACTAAGTCTAAACCAGAACTAAACCAGGACTAAACTAAGTCTAAACCAGGACTAAACCAGGACTAAACTAAGTCTAAACCAGGGACTAAACTAAGTCTAAAACTAAACCAGGACTAAACTAAGTCTAAACCAGACTAAACCAGGACTAAACTAAGTCTAAACCAGAACTAAACCAGGACTAAACTAAGTCTAAACCAGGACTAAACTAAGTCTAAACCAGAACTAAACCAGGACTAAACTAAGTCTAAACCAGGACTAAACCAGGACTAAACTAAGTCTAAACCAGGACTAAACTAAACCAGAACTAAACTAAGTCTAAACTAAACCAGAACTAAACCAGGACTAAACTAAGTCTAAACCAGGACTAAACTAAACCAGTCTAAACCAGAACTAAACCAGGACTAAACCTAAACCAGGACTAAACCAGGGACTAAACTAAACCAGGACTAAACCAGGACTAAAACCAGGACTAAACTAAGGACTAAAACCAGGACTAAACTAAGTCTAAACCAGGACTAAACTAAGTCTAAACCAGGACTAAACCAGGACTGAAACTAAGTCTAAACCAGGACTAAACCAGGACTAAACCAGGACTAAAACTAAGTCTAAACCAGGACTAAACTAAGTCTAAACCAAGACTAAACCAGGACTGAACTAAGTCTAAACCAGGACTAAAACCAGGAATAAACTAAGTCTAAACCAGGACTAAAACCAGGACTAAACTAAGTCTAAACCAGGACTAAACTAAGTCTAAACCAAGACTAAACCAGGACTGAAATAAGTCTAAACCAGGACTAAACCAGGACTAAAACCAGGACTAAACTAAGTCTAAACCAGGACTAAACCAGGACTAAAACCAGGACTAAAACCAGGACTAAACTAAGTCTAAACCAGAACTAAACCAGGACTAAACTAAGTCTAAACCAGGACTAAACTAAGTCTAAACCAGGACTAAACCAGGACTAAACTAAGTCTAAACCAGGACTAAACTAAGTCTAAACCAGAACTAAACCAGGACTAAACTAAGTCTAAACCAGAACTAAACCAGGACTAAACTAAGTCTAAACCAGAACTAAACCAGGACTAAACTAAGTCTAAACCAGAACTAAACCAGGACTAAACTAAGTCTAAACCAGGACTAAACTAAGTCTAAACCAGGACTAAACTAAGTCTAAACCAGGACTAAACCAGGACTAAACCAGGACTGAACCAGGACTAAACCAGGACTAAACCAGGACTAAACCAGGACTAAACCAGGACTGAACCAGGACTAAACCAGGACTAAACTAAGTCTAAACCAGGACTAAACTAAGTCTAAACCAGGACTAAACCAGGACTGAACTAAGTCTAAACCAGGACTAAAACCAGGACTAAAACCAGGACTAAACTAAGTCTAAACCAGGACTAAAACTAAGTCTAAACCAAGACTAAAACCAGGACTGAACTAAGTCTAAACCAGGACTAAAACCAGGAATAAACTAAGTCTAAACCAGGACTAAAACCAGGACTAAAACTAAGTCTAAACCAGGACTAAACTAAGTCTAAACCAAGACTAAACCAGGACTGAAATAAGTCTAAACCAGGACTAAAACCAGGACTAAACCAGAACTAAACCAGGACTAAACCAGGACTAAACCAGGACTAAACCAGGACTGAACCAGGATGTTTTGTTGTATTGCTCGAAATAAGATCTGAACTGACAAATTTAACACAAGAATCACATTTCAGAACGAGTTTGTACAGATGAAAAGACAGAGTGAAACGGTTTTAATTTTAATAACGCAGGAGATGTTGATGTTTGTGGAGGACATGTTGATGTTTGTGGAGGACATGTTGATGTTTGTGGAGGACATGTTGATGTTTGTGGAGGACATGTTGATGTTTGTGGAGGACATGTTGATGTTTGTGGAGGACATGTTGATGTTTGTGGAGGACATGTTGATGTTTGTGGAGGACATGTTGATGTTTGTGGAGGACATGTTGATGTTTGTGGAGGACATGTTGATGTTTGTGGAGGACATGTTGATGTTTGTGGAGGACATGTTGTTGTTTGTGGAGGACATGTTGTTGTTTGTGGAGGACATGTTGATGTTTGTGGAGGACATGTTGATGTTTGTGGAGGAGACGTTGATGTTTGTGGAGGACATGTTGATGTTTGTGGAGGACATGTTGATGTTTGTGGAGGACATGTTGATGTTTGTGGAGGACATGTTGATGTTTGTGGAGGACATGTTGATGTTTGTGGAGGACATGTTGATGTTTGTGGAGGACATGTTGATGTTTTGTGGAGGACATGTTGATGTTTGTGGAGGACATGTTGTTGTTTGTGGAGGACATGTTGAGGACATGTTGTGTGATGTTTGTGGAGGACATGTTTGTGGTGTGAGGACATGTTTGTTTGTGGAGGACATGTTGATGTTTGTGGAGGACATGTTGATGTTTGTGGAGGACATGTTGATGTTTGTGGAGGACATGTTGAGGACATGTTGATGTGGGGAGGACATGTTTGTGTTTGTGTGAGGACATGTGTTGATGTTTGTGTTGTTGAGGTTTGTTGGAGGACATGTTGTGTTTGTGAGGACATGTTGATGTTTGTGGAGGACATGTTGATGTTTGTGGAGGACATGTTGTTGTTTGGAGGACATGTTGTTGTTTGTGGAGGACATGTTGTTGTGTGGTTGTGGAGGACATGTTGATGTTTGTGGAGGACATGTTGATGTTTGTGTTTGTGGAGGACATGTTGATGTTTGTGGAGGACATGTTGTTTTGTGTGTGTTTGTGTGGAGGACATGTTTGATGTTTGTGGAGGACATGTTGATGTTTGTGGAGGAGTTGATGTTTGTGGAGGACATGTTGATGTTTGTGGAGGACATGTTGATGTTGTGTGGAGGACATGTTGTTGTTTGTGTGGAGGACATGTTGATGTTGATGGAGGACATTTGTTGTTTGTGGAGGACATGTTGATGTTTGGAGGACATGTTGTGTTTGTGAGGAGACATGTTGTGTTTGTGGAGGACATGTTGATGTTTGTGGAGGACATGTTGGTGTTTGTGGAGGACATGTTGTTGTTTGTGGAGGACATGTTGATGTTTGTGGAGGACATGTTGATGTTTGTGGAGGACATGTTGATGTTTGTGGAGGACATGTTGATGTTTGTGGAGGACATGTTGATGTTTGTGTGTGTGTTGTGGAGGACATGTTGATGTTTGTGGAGGACATGTTGATGTTTGTGGAGGAGTGTTTTGTGTTGTGGAGGACATGTTGTTGTTGTGGAGGACATGTTGTGTTTGTGGAGGACATGTTGATGTTGTGGAGGACATGTTGATGTTTGTGGAGGACATGTTTGAGGACATGTTGTTGGGAGGACATGTTGATGTTTGTGATGTTTGTGGAGGACATGTTGTGTTTGTGGAGGACATGTTGATGTTTGTGGAGGACATGTTGATGTTTGTGGAGGACATGTTGTTGTTTGTGGAGGACATGTTGATGTTTGTGGAGGACATGTTGATGTTTGTGGAGGACATGTTGGTGTTTGTGTGTTGTGGAGGACATGTTGATGTTTGTGGAGGACATGTTGTGTTTGTGGAGGACATGTTGATGTTTGTGGAGGACATGTTGATGTTTGTGGAGGACATGTTGTTGTTTGTGGAGGACATGTTGTTTGTGGAGGACATGTTGATGTTTGTGGAGGACATGTTGATGTTTGTGGAGGAGACATGTTGATGTTTGTGGAGGACATGTTGATGTTTGTGGAGGACATGTTGTTGTTTGTGGAGGACATGTTGATGTTTGTGGAGGACATGTTGATGTTTGTGGAGGACATGTTGTTTGTGTTTGTGGAGGACATGTTGTGTGTTTGTGGAGGACATGTTGATGTTTGTGGAGGAGACATGTTGATGTTTGTGGAGGGACATGTTGTTGTTTGTGGAGGACATGTTGTTGTTTGTGGAGGAGACGTTGTTGTTTGTGGAGGACATGTTGATGTTGTGTTTGTGAGGACATGTTGATGTTTGTGGAGGACATGTTGATGTTTGTGGAGGACATGTTGTTTGTTTGTGGAGGACATGTTGTGTGTGAGGACATGTTTGATGTTTGTGGAGGACATGTTGATGTTTGTGGAGGACATGTTGATGTTTGTGGAGGACATGTTGATGTTTGTGGAGGACATGTTGATGTTTGTGGAGGACATGTTGATGTTTGTGGAGGACATGTTGTTTGTGGAGGACATGTTGATGTTTGTGGAGGACATGTTGATGTTTGTGGAGGACATGTTGATGTTTGTGGAGGACATGTTGATGTTTGTGGAGGACATGTTGATGTTGATGTGGAGGACATGTTGATGTTTGTGTTGGAGGACATGTTGTTGTGTGGAGGACATGTTTGTGTTTTGGAGGACATGTTGATGTTTGTGGAGGACATGTTGATGTTTGTGGAGGACATGTTGATGTTTGTGAGGACATGTTGATGTTTGTGGAGGACATGTTGATGTTTGTGGAGGACATGTTGATGTTTGTGGAGGAGATGTTGATGTTTGTGGAGGACATGTTGTTGTTTGTGGAGGACATGTTGATGTTTGTGGAGGACATGTTGATGTTTGTGGAGGACATGTTGATGTTTGTGGAGGACATGTTGATGTTTGTGGAGGACATGTTGATGTTTGTGGAGGACATGTTGATGTTTGTGGAGGACATGTTGATGTTTGTGGAGGACATGTTGATGTTTGTGGAGGAGATGATGTTTGTGGAGGACATGTTGTTGTTTGTGGAGGACATGTTGATGTTTGTGGAGGACATGTTGATGTTTGTGGAGGACATGTTGATGTTTGTGTGAGGACATGTTGTTTGTGGAGACATGTTGTGTTTGTGGAGGACATGTTGTTGTTGTTTGTGGAGATGACTGATGTTTGTGGAGGACATGTTGATGTTTGTGGAGGACATGTTGATGTTTGTGGAGGACATGTTGATGTTTGTGGAGGACATGTTGATGTTTGTGGAGGACATGTTGTTTGTGGAGGACATGTTGTTTGTGGAGGACATGTTGATGTTTGTGGAGGACATGTTGATGTTTGTGGAGGAATGTTGTGTTGTTGTGTGGGGACATGTTGTGTTTGTGGAGGACATGTTGATGTTTGTGGAGGACATGTTGGTGTTTGTGGAGGACATGTTGGTGTTTTGTGGAGGACATGTTGTGTTTGTGGATGTTTGTGTGAGGACATGTTGATGTTTGTGGAGGACATGTTGATGTTTGTGGAGGACATGTTGATGTTTGTGGACATGTTGATGTTTGTGGAGGACATGTTGATGTTTGTGGAGGAGATGTTGATGTTTGTGGAGGACATGTCGATGTTTGTGGAGGACATGTCGATGTTTGTGGAGGACATGTCGATGTTTGTGGAGGACATGTCGATGTTTGTGGAGGACATGTTGATGTTTGTGGAGGACATGTTGATGTTTGTGGAGGACATGTTGGTACTTTGTGGTTTTCTGCTCGTGTTTCTTCAGGTTTTGGAGGATGTGTTTGAGAGTTTTGAGTCGTACCTTGAAGTCTCTCCTCCTCCTCGGGAGCACGGGTCTCTGGAGGAACAGGATCTGTTTTGTGGACAGGCTCCCGTCACTGCGCACAAACAAAACAACAACAAAACAACAGCAGCAGAAGGTTACACACTGTAACTTTAATCACATCACGTTAATGATTTTTCCACCGTCTTCCTCTGACCTCAGATTTTTCTATTTTATTTTGACTTGTGCATTTACATTTATATAATTATGTTTTATTTGACACGTGTCTCTTGCTGGTTTTTTTGTTACGTATTTAGAATTTATTATCATTTACCAGACCAGGACTGAACCAGGACTAAAACAGGACTACACTGTTTTCAGTCCTGGTCTGGTCCCGAACCTGGTTTAGTCCTGGAATCAGTCCTGGTTTAGTCCTGGTTTAGTCCTTGGTTTAGTCTTGGTTTAGTCCTGGTTCAGTCCTGGTTTAGTCCTGGTTTAGTCTTGGTTGTTTAGTCCTGGTTTAGTCCTGGTTTAGTTAGGTTTAGTCCTGGTTTAGTCCTGGTTCAGTCCTGGTTTAGTCCTGGTTCAGTCCCTGGTTTAGTCCTGGTTCAGTCCTGGGTTTAGTCCTGGTTTAGTCCTGGTTTAGTCCTGGTTTAGTCCTGGTTCCTAGTCCTGTTCAGTCTTGGTTTAGTCTTGGTTTAGTCCTGGTTTAGTCCTGGTTTAGTCCTGGTTTAGTCCTGGTTTAATTAAACTGTTTCCGATACGTTGATACTGTAAACTCTTTATAATGATCTCGTTGTGTTTTGGACGTTTTTCTGACAGTAAAAAGTAAAAATCCTGGTCTTTAAAGTTGTTCCCTTTGAGCGTGGCAGGTTGAGAGCGTGTTCGTGCGGAGAGCGTGTTCGTGCGGAGAGGGCGTGTTCGTGCGGCTCTGATGTGTCAGTACGACATGTTTACGGTTGTCAATAGTGACGGGGTCGAACTAAACGCACAAAATATAGAACCGTGAGAAAAAGGTTTGGGCGGCGTTCGTCTGACGAACAGCACAAAGAGTCGCTCCTGACAGCTCCAGACCTGGAAGTGTCCGACGTGACGGGACGAGTTCAGACTAAAGCCACACGACTTTTATCTCTGAACGTCAAGAAGAAAAAACAGAGATAATAATTACAACGACTTAAATATTTCTACATGTTGTTTTTATCAATGTCATTCATTTAGTAGGTCTAATACTAGTAGTAGTAGTAGTAGTAGTAGTAGTAGTAGTAGTAGTACTACTAGTAGTAGTAGTCTAGTTACTGTTACTACTACTATTACTGTTAGTACTACTACTATACTGTTAGTACTACTACTACTACTACTACTACTACTACTGTTACTACTATTACTACTACTATTACTGTTACTGTTACTTACTACTGGTTTAGTCCTGGTTCAGTCCTGGTTTAGTCCTGGTTTAGTCCTGGTTCAGTCCTGGTTTAGTCCTGGTTTAGTCCTGGTTCAGACCTGGTTTAGTCCTGGTTTAGTCCTGGTTTAGTCCTGTTAGTCCTGGTTTAGTTCAGACCTGGTTTAGTCCTGGTTTAGTCCTGGTTCAGGACCTGGTTTAGTCCTGGTTTAGTCCTGGTTCAGTCCTGGTTTAGTCCTGTTCTGTCCTGTTTAGTCCTGGTTTAGTCCTGGTTAGTCCTGGTTCAGTCCTGGTTTAGTCCTGGTTCAGACCTGGTTTAGTCCTGGTTTTGGTTAGTCCTGGTTTAGTCCTGGTTCAGTCCTGGTTTAGTCCTGGTTCAGTCCTGGTTTAGTCCTGGTTTAGTCCTGGTTTAGTCCTGGTTCAGTCCTGGTTTAGTCCTGGTTTAGTCCTGGTTTAGTCCTGGTTCATCCTGGTTTAATCCTGGTTTAGTCCTGTTCAGTCCTGGTTTAGTCCTGGTTTAGTCCTGGTTCAGTCCATAAGGATCAAAATTGGATGAAACGGGAAACATCTGTTTTTTTTTTTTTTTTTCTTCCATTTTTCATTTAAACACAAAATCGAAAACTGAAAAAAACAAATCATTATCTGTTTTTTCAGGGTCACAGTTTGGTTTTATTGGATCTGTTCAACTGTAAAAACGTAAAGTGGCTTATTTCGACAGAACATCGACTCTGCATCAGTCCCAGAAAAAAACAAAAACGAAGAAACAGACGACATAAAAGAATGAACCTCTTAAGAGTGAAACGATCTGAAAATGACGGGCGTGTGGAGAGAGAGTCACAGCTGTGATCAGGGACCCCCCCCCCCCCGCCGCCGCCGAGGACGAGGTTGAGGGTTGAATTCTCCACAGGGGCCTCATCCTCGTGTTACTTATGTCACAGCGTGTGGGAGACTCTCATGCGCCGCTTTTCTTTTCTTTGTCGCTGTTAACGGTTGGAACGTGACGCAGAAAAACAGTCACATTTAAGAGCGTTTTTACACCGGATGCCCTCCCCGTCAAAATACCCCCCCAAAAAAAGACCAAAGAAAGAAAAAAAGACCCCAAAAAACAACTATTTTCTTCATTATTTGTCTCCAAAACCAAAATGAAAAAAACAGTTTTCAATTTTGTGGTTAAATGAAAAAAAGGAAAAAAAGAAAACAGATAATGGACATTTCCCGCTTTATCCAATTTGGACCCTTATGGACTGAACCAGGACTAAACCAGGACTAAACCAGGACTAAACCAGGACTAAACCAGGACTAAACCAGGACTGAAACCAGGACTGACCAGGACTGAACCAGGACCAGATCTTGGGCTTGAGAGCGAGACAGAACCCAGAGTCCGAGGAGCAGGACGTCTGCAAAAGCGCAATCTTTCGTTGGTCCTTTTCCCCATGGTCTACATGGCCAACACTCAGTCCTGGTTCAGTCCTGGTTTAGACAATCCTGGTTCAGTCCTGGTTTAAACCTGGTTTAGTCCTGGTTTAGTCCTGGTTCAGTCCTGGTTAGTCCTGGTTCAGTCCTGGTTCAGTTCTGGTTCAGTCCTGGTTCAGTTTAGTCCTGGTTCAGTAGTCCTGGTTTAGACCTTGGTTTAGTCCTGGTTTATCCTGGTTTAGTCCTGGTTCAGTCCTGGTTCAGTAGTCCTGGTTAGTAGTCCTGGTTTTAGTCCTGGTTCAGTCCTGGTTCAGTCCTGGTTTAGTCCTGGTTCAGTCCTGGTTTAGTCCTGGTTCAGTCTGGTTCAGTCCTGGTTTAGTCAGTCCTGGTTTAGTCCTGGTTTAGTCCTGGTTCAGTCCTGGTTCAGTTCCTGGTTCAGTCCTGGTTCAGTCCTGGTTTAGTCAGTCCTGGTTTCAGTCCTGGTTCAGTCCCTGGTTCCTGGTTTAGTCAGTCCTGGTTCAGTCCTGGTTTAGTCCTGGTTTAGTCCTGGTTCAGTCCTGGTTCAGTCCTGTTTAAGTCGGTTCAAAATTGGATCCTGGTTAGTGAAATAGGAAACGTCCATTATCCTTTTATTTATTTATTTTTCCCATTTTTCATTTAAACACGAAAACTGAAAAAAAACACAAATCATTATCTGTTTTTTCATTTTGGTTTTGGAGACAAATGTTTTTTCGTTTTTGTATTTTTGTTTTTATTTTGAAAAGCCAATGAACGAATGACACGGGTTCATCTGAATATGTGTGGTTCATGTGTCGTGTTCTGCTCAAATAAGCTCCGACTAAAGGAGCACAAATCCACAGGACAATTTATCCTCCAATAAAGTCCCGCTGTACAATCAACATTCATGAAATCACTAAATCTTCTTTCTATCAAATAAAACTCACACTATAGAAGAGAAAGAAATGACGGGAAACACTGAAATCTTTATATTAAATAGCGTTAAATAGGTTTTCTGACGCAAATCTAACAGGCACGTGTCGATGTTTAACTGGTCCAAACAGACAATAAAATATGACTTGTTACTCCACGTCTGCCTCGGGAGCTCAAATCGACAGGACACCGGATCTACTTTCTGTGAGGAGTGATACGCAGGTGTGGAGTGACAGGGGGGGGGGGGGTCACCTGTTGGTCCTGACGATGGGCGTGGGCAGAACACACATGAGCCTCCAACCGAACGGAGCCAAGGACTGGAGCAGAGGGATGTAGTCGGCCTTCACCACCACGCCCTGAACACACACACACACACAACACACACACACATACACACATACACACACACACACACACACACACACATACACACACATACACACACACACAAACACACAGTTACAGTGATCGTGTTACAAATAGAGCTTTTTCACAACAGCCAGAAGTTTTCCGCTGTAGTTTTGTTGAACTTCCAGTGAATGTGTGTGTAAATGTGTGTAAATGTTTGTAAATGTGTGTGTAAATGTGCGTGTAAATATGTGTGTAAATGTGTGTGTAAGTGTGTGTGTAAATGTGTGTAAATGTGTAAATGTGTGTGTAAATGTGTGTGTAAATGTGTGTGTAAATGTGTGTATAAATGTGTGTAAATGTGTGTGTAAATGTGTGTGTGTGTGTAAATGTGTGTATAAATGTGTGTAAATGTGTGTGTAAGTGTGTGTGTAAATGTGTATAAATGTGTGTAAATGTGTGTGTAAATGTGTGTGTAAATGTGTGTATAAATGTGTGTAAATGTGTGTATAAATGTGTGTAAATGTGTGTGTAAATGTGTGTGTAAATGTGTGTAAATGTGTGTAAATGTGTGTAAATGTGTGTGTAAATGTGTATAAATGTGTGTAAATGTGTGTGTGTGTGTGTAAATGTGTGTAAATGTGTGTGTAAATGTGTGTGTAAATGTGTGTAAATATGTGTAAATGTGTGTGTAAATATGTGTGTATAATGTGTGTGTAAATGTGTGTGTAAATGTGTGTGTGTAAATGTGTGTATAAATGTGTGTAAATGTGTGTAAATGTGTGTAAATGTGTGTGTAAATGTGTGTGTAAATGTGTGTGTAAATGTGTGTAAATGTGTAAATGTGTGTATAAATGTGTGTGTAATGTGTGTATTAAATGTGTGTAAATGTGTGTGTAAGTGTGTGTGTAAATGTGTGTATAAATGTGTGTAAATGTGTGTATAAATGTGTGTGTGTAAATGTGTGTGTAAATGTGTGTGTAAATGTGTGTGTAAATGTGTGTAAATGTGTGTGTGTAAATGTGTGTAAATGTGTGTAAATGTGTGTGTAAATGTGTATAAATGTGTGTAAATGTGTGTAAATGTGTGTGTAAATGTGTGTAAATGTGTGTAAATGTGTGTAAATGTGTGTAAATGTGTGTGTAAATGTGTGTATAAATGTGTGTAAATGTGTGTAAATGTGTGTAAATGTGTGTGTAAATGTGTGTAAATGTGTGTGTAAGTGTGTGTGTAAATGTGTGTAAATGTGTGAAAATGTGTGTGTAAATGTGTGTGTAAATGTGTGTGTAAATGTGTAAATGTGTAAATGTGTGTAAATGTGTGTTAAATGTGTGTAAATGTGTGTGTAAATGTGTGTGTAAATGTGTGTGTAAATGTGTGTAAATGTGTGTGTAAATGTGTGTAATGTGTGTAAATGTGTGTGTAAATGTGTGTAAATGTGTGTAAATGTGTGTGTAAATGTGTGTGTAAATGTGTGTGTAAATGTGTGTGTAAATGTGTGTGTAAATGTGTGTAAATGTGTGTGTAAATGTGTGTGTAAATGTGTGTATAAATGTGTGTTGTTTTCAGCAGTTTCATAAATTTGCCTCATCACCAAATCTTCAACCAACGAGGTAAGTAAGTTTTTAATTTATACAGCACTTTTTCACAGACATTCGTCACAAAGACAATGTGGTTGAAGTGTCTTGCCTAAGGACACAATGGCAGTTTTTTGACTGGCGCCTCCCAGTGGCTCCTGAAGTTCCCAACAGTCTCCCATCCAAGTCCTGACAAAGGTCCAAGATCCACAAAGAAGAAACCTTCTAACATGAACAATTTATCCACAACGATCAAGAGAAGAAAGAACAAAACTTAAAGGAAACAACGACGACGACACATTAGTCACACAACAAACTCAACTCATGTTATGATCATCAATAAAACACAAGGAATAAGAAATTCATTCATATGTAATGTTCACTTGTTAATTCTAGAATTAAAATTAAAAATTGAATTGATTTTATGATGTGGCCATGGGCATAGACAGACAGATTTGTGCAGTTTGAACGACAGACAAACATGTCTAACATTCAAACTGCACAAATCTGTCTGTTGATGTTAATATCAACATCATCAAATCTATTTTTAATTTTAATTGTAGAATGAGTCTGAGTGAACAAGTTCCTTGTGTTTTCTTCATGATCATTGAGTTGAGTTTGTTGTGTGACTAATGTGGCTCATTGTTTCCTTTAAGTTTTGCTCTTTCTTCTCTTGATAGTTGGTAAATTTTTCTATAGCGCTTTTCCACCTTACAACAAGGAACCACTCACACATTCACACACCAGTGTACACAGACACTGTGGGCAAGGTGGGTTAAGTGTCTTGCCCAAGGACACAACAACAGCAGCATTCACTTGTGGGAGCTGGAATCACACCAGCCAACCTGTGTGTCAGTGTGTCACTGACCGCTCAACCTAAGATGTTTATGTTGAGAGCGGGATTCGAACCTCCAACCTTCAGATCAGTGGACAAATGCTCTACCAACTGAGCTACTGCCGCCCCTAGTCGTGGATAAATTCTTCATGTTAGAATGTTTATCCTTTGTGGAGTTTGTTGGTTAAAGATTTGGTGATGAGGCAGATTTATGAAGCTGCTGGAGAAAACGACACACACATTTACACACACATTTACACACACACATTTACACACACATTCACACACACATTTACACAGAAAAACATGAACTGGAAGTTCAGCAAACCTACAGCGGGAAACTTTTAGATGTTGTGAAAAAGTTCTTTCTCTGTTTGAGAGAAGAACTCAGCCTAAATATGCAGGGTTAGTTTGTTAAAGAGCCACTAAACGCCAAAATCACTTTTTTTCCCTGCTGATTCTGTGTAAATGTGTCTAAAATAGAAGTGTGTCTCTATCTCTGGCCTTATTTTGGTATTTTCGTGCAGATTTGTTAAAACTGTGACTTTTGGGTCAAAGTCGTGTCTGTATCGGTCTCAATCATCGTCCCAGAGTCGCTCCCCACAACCCGCCCCACTGGAGCATTTTTTAGATGTTCCTTAGGAGCGGCGTAAAACTTTGGGAGGGTGTTTAATGGCTCTTTAAACATGTGTGAATGAAACAAACACAACTCCAGTGTGTGCGTTTGTGACGAGGACACTCACGTCCACCACGGTCCACTGCTCCACCACGATGGCGTCATACGAGGCGTTCACGGACTGAGCCGAACTCTGGAAAATGAAAACGCTGTCCACCTGAGCCACTCCACTGTCTGAGGAACAGAGAGAAAACAGAAAACTGTCACAGAGACATCACCAAAACACTGACCAAAACACTGACCAAAACACTGACCAAACCCTGACACAAACAGAACTGTTTCCATTTGCACCAGAGGTTTTACACTCTCATGTTGTCACTGCTGCTTTTACAATAAAATCTGTTTGTAAAAGTCTTTTATGAAGCTCCACTCACCGTTCTCCTCTGAGACGTGGAAGAATCCGTCCACGAGCTGAGCGCCGCTGCTGAAGTGCTGGGTCATGTGATCGAGCCAGTGGGCGTCGACCTCTGTGACGAGCCCCGCCTCCCTGTGCACCCAGAGGGGCACCCTGAGAGAATAGAAGCGCAGAGACGAGTCCTGCTCCTCTGTGTGGTTATACAGAGCAAACAGCTGAGATCCTACAACACAAGACAACAAACAGGGTGGTGCAGTGACTGAGTGGTTAGAACTCATGCCTCACAGCAAGAAGGTCCCAGGTTCAATCCCTGAGTTTGCATGTTTCTCCCCGTGTCTGGGTGGGTTTCCTCCAGCTCTGGCTTCCCCCATCAACCCAAACCATGCCCAGGGATGACAGGTGGAAATTAGCACTGATGCTACAACCTGGTACAAAGCATCTCTCCTGTTCAGGTTCATGTAAATTCACCGGTCTCACTGTCCATGGCTCATTAAATAATAAAATCAACAGAAGAAAACAACAACAGAGGAGAACAACAACAGAGAAGATCATGGTCATCACTAAGGAGTTCAGGCAGAATCACTTTCTGCTGCTCCTGAGATGGACTCAAGCAGAAATAAATGTATACTGAGGATCTGAGATCATGAGCTTAGAACAGGACGAGTCTACTGCTTCACTGTGAACTTATAGGCTCTATTCACACTTACGTCACAAACCAGGAAGACGTCTGGAAACATGCGATGAGAACTTCGAGCAGACGTCCATAGAAGTAAACACGATAAGAGGTCAAATGAAGACTGCAGACGTGTGTGCTGTTTGGAATCATCTTGAATTTGACGCCTTATCTCTTCTCATCACATGTCCCCAGTGGACTGTTGTGAGTCAGTGGGGAAATGATGAAAACTGAGGCGTGGTTGTAATTGTTGATGACATGGAGGTGAAGAAAACTGGGACATTTTCTCATTTTCCTAGATTTTGTCAGACTTACAACCACGAACAGAACCCAAAGGAAGTTGTCATCACATGTTTCCAAACATCTTCCCGGTTTGTGACGTAACATGAATAGAGTCTGTTCAGATCACGTCAGCTCCACTAACATCCTGATGAGAGGGTGAAATGAACAGTTATGTCCAAATACAAGAGTTTAACCCTCTCCAGGCCAATTACCTACTTACTCCACATTAGGGATGGGCATGATTAATCGATTAATCGATAATTGATCATTAAGAATTTCATCGATTACGTTAATCTTAATCGACAAACCGAATGTATGTTTCTGTGTGTATCGTGACCAAACAGGTGTGTACATGTGTCTCTGCATCAGAAGGAGCGAGACACAAACAGTGGGTCAGTCTGTAACGAACCGAAGCACAAATGTGGATTTAACGATGATTTGTACAAGAAATTCCACACTTTCTGTTGCGTTGGGACAAGTGTGAGTCCATGTGCACAGTGTATAAAGCAGCACATATGTTTCTGTGTCCAGTGGGAAAAAGTTTTTCCAGGTGAGAGTCGCTCAATGTGGATGACGAGGCCCCGCCCCCCTCCCCCCGTACGCTGTCCTGGTTTTGACAAACACAAATCTGGTCACACTGACCTGTATTCACCTGAGTCATGTCTTTTAATCCAACAGAAATTGAACCACATCAGCGACACAAGAGCTGGAGTTTTATCTTTGCTTAGTTTATGTAAATTAGTGATGTGGTTTTAAGTTTTGTTTCTGTGAGATTTGAACAAAACTGAATTAAACACATTATAATGTCAAACAGCTGATGTGGATCTAGAGTCGTTACGGTTTATATGTCGTAAAGTTGAATTTATTTATGCAGATTAGTGCAGATAGTAATAATAATGATGATCATTTTAATATAAAAACGTTAATGATTAATCGATAATCGATCGTTAATTCTTCCGACGATCGATTAAGAAAATTTCATCGAATGCCCATCCCTACTCCACATCCATATTTTATTAGCTTTTTTTTAAACTCAGGAGCCTTTTTTCCCATCCATGCTGGTAAACGTGGATGATGCAGCCTGGCTACACGCAAACGGCCAGAAGTAAAGTACTTTTTTTGTTTACAAAGGATAAAAAAATCAGGATTGTATATTACTGCCCCATATGATAATTTTCCCCAAATATCAGATTTTTCCTGATACTAAAAATGTATTTGAGCCTGAGGTTAAACTACACTAGTCTAAACTGTATGTGTCCTTAACACCATAAGAACAGGAGGGTCAAAACTATGGCTCAGGGGCCAAATGTGGCCCTCAGACCAGCGATCAGACTGTCAACACTATAATCTCAGTGACACCGCAGTGTGGCACTGTGACAGAGCTCAACTTTCTAAACTGTTCTAAACTTTATCAATAATATACAGCCGTGGCTCTGTTCCACATAAAGCTTCCACGTGATCGACCTTCAGCCTGTGGTCCTGCACTTCAGATGTTCCATGATGCAGCTCTGTGTGAAACACTGAAATGCTTCTTGTGTCTCTTACTGTTTGGACGAGGAGACGAGCTGCTCCTCTCACGCTCCTGGTTCCTCAGGTGAATGTGGCTGTAGCTCTCCTGGTTCCTCTGGTGGGTGTGGTTGTTGGTCTCCTGGTTCCTCAGGTGGGTGTGGTTGTTGGTCTCCTGGTTCCTCAGGTGGGTGTGGTTGTTGGTCTCTTGGTTCCTCAGGTGGGTGTGGTTGTTGGTCTCCTGGTTCCTCAGGTGGGTGTGGTTGTTGGTCTCTTGGTTCCTCAGGTGGGTGTGGTTGTTGGTCTCTTGGTTCCTCAGGTTGATGTGGTTGTTGTTGTGTGAGGAGCGGTTTTGCTGTGATGTTGGATCTTCTCTCACAGCTCGTCCTCCACAGGGGCTGTTCTCTGTCTGGTCTTCCTCCCCCTGTGCTCCTCTGAGATCCTCTGCTGCTGGAGACAGTCACATTCAGTCTTTGTGTATAAGTGTAGGGGTTAGGAGTTATTCAGGAAAGGTTCATTTCTTTCCTGTGAGTGGGATTCTTTCAGCTCAAATGAGGATCTGTTTTTTTTACTAGTTTTCGTTTGGATTAGAATGTGATGTTTAACACATTAGAGCGCCTCGTGTCCTCTGCACTCACCTGTGCTCCAGTGTCCTGTGTGAGCTCTCTGTAGTTTCTCCTCTGGGTTCAGACTCTGCTCTTCTTCTGTGTGTCCAGGTTCAGCGTGTGGAGCTTCTGTGTCCTCTGCCCTGAGGTGAAGTGCTCCAGACGCCCCGGTCGAGCTGGTGTGCTGAGGTCAGAGGAGTAACTCAGATACATTTACTTGAATAACTTTTGAAAAAAAAACTGACCTTTCAGAGTATTTTTCTAACAGCTTAATTTTACTCTGATGTAAAAGTTCTTGTTACTCTCCCCTCTGTGAGTTCCATTTATATTAACTATAGATGCACACATACAAATACTGGTATCAAATATCAATACCGATCCAGGAAAATTTTCTAGATTAAATATCGGTTCCATAATATCGGTTCAGATGATGTCTGAGTTGGGATTTTAATTGGAAGTAGTGACTCTTTACAGACTGATGCAGGCCCAGGACGTCTATAAATGTTTGCGTTTTAATTCACACTATGTTGTTCTGTCGTCTCTTGCAGGATAAATAAGTTACATAACACAATTGGATCAAATTTGCAAAAAAAATATGTTTTCAGTCCCCACACTGGTATCAGTTTAAATCGATCAAAGTATCAATATTCATTAGTTAATCATTGCATTTATATCGAACCTTTCAAGACTCCCAAAGAGCTTTATAGTTCATTCTTCATTCACTCCACACTCTGCGGTGAAAATACTATTGTAGCCACAGCTGCACTGGGGCAGACTGACTTAAGAAACAGAGGGAGGACCCAAAACGCAGGACTGCTTCAAAGTAGTGATGTTACGAGATGTGCCGAGGCTTCGAAGCCTGTGTCGAGTAATGAAGGAGGTGAAGGAGGCCAAAAATGATGACGTCCGAAGCCTCGCTGTCCGGCTCTACCACGTGACTGCTTCGGGAAGTAGTTCGCGGATTTGGCGCGTTTCGAAACATTAGGGCCAGTGAAACGCAACGGACTCCCCCAAAACATTTTGTGGTTTTGGGTTATTGTGAGTTTGGTACATTCTATTTGAGATTATTTTTGTGTGTGTGTATGTGTTTGTGTGTGTGCTGTGAAAGTTTTTTTTTTTTTTTTTAAAGCAGGGGAAATTCTCTGTAAAAAAGAAATCATCTGAGTCTGTGGAGAAATTGATATTTTTAAATAAAAATGAATAAAATGACCCTATTTTGCCGTGCTTATTGTGGCATAAGCACAGACATAAAGTAGTAACACAAGCACAGTCACATTACATCCTGATCTCCAATTTGTTTCTACTTTTTCTTTTAACCCGACCTTTATATCATGAACACAGACTCCAGGTTCATACATTCACACTTTATGTAGAAATCACAAACATTCAAATATTTAACGGTTCATTTGTTCAGTATAAATCTTTCCATCAGAACCTCGATGATCATGTTGATTGTTCTATTTTCACTCTGCCTGTTATATATTTTTTGGCCTCTTGATGGCGCCGTGGAGCAAATGAAGCACCTTGAAGCGTCGGCTCAAATGGCTGGAACGCTTCAGTGCTTCATGGGGCTTCATCTCAACATCACTACTTTAAAGTATTTCATGACAAAACCAAAAAAAAATCCAAAACTCAAGAGTAAATTGACATTGACAAGAGACACGGAGAAACTCGGACAGAGACAATGGACCAACAAAGGGCAGAGGAGAACACAGGGTATAAGAGCCACAGACACGGGTGAAACACATGAGGGCGGCAAACAATCAAGACGGGAAGTAAAACTCAAAACTACAAACTGACAGGACAAATGTCAAAATAAAACACTAAAGGCACACTACAGGAAAAAGATATCAAAATAAGCAAAAACAACGACTACAAAACATGAACCATGACACTCAGACGACCACCATCACTCACACACACACCACTTTCATACAGGCAGTGTGGGTGAAGTGTTTTGCCTAAGGACACAACAACATATTTTGCCACTGGTGCCTCCTGTGGCTCCTGTTGTTCCCAGTGTCTCCATCCAAGTCCTGACCAGACCCAGACCTGCTGAGCCTCTGAGATCTGACAGGATCAGACTTTGAGAATCAGATATGGCCACAAATATCAAAACGAGAAAATCTGGATCAGTGGATCTCTAAAATAAACTTCACATGATAAATCAGATTCTACGTCTCCACATTTACTCTTTAAAGCTGCATTGTCTAAAATTTCTGATGTTATTTCTTTGTCTGGAATGTTTCACAGCATGACATTAAACGTTTCCATCTCCATGGAGACCAAACCAGACAAAGTTACAGGTCAGATCTGTGGAGAGGAGACACCACTCACAGTCAGAATGTTTTTCGAAGTATTTTTGAGTTATAAAACCAAATGTAATTGAATAAATGTAAAGTAGAGCTGATTAATGTCACACTGTGGAACATTCCAGGCAAAGCAATGGCGTATCCATAGAAACACAACCAAAACGTTACATAGTGGACCTGAGTAACTTCTTGGACGTCTACTTTGTACTTCTGCTTGTTCTCTGTGCTCCTCACCTGCGGCTGACGTTCTCCTGGAGCGTCGGAGGGACTGGCGGCGCAGCTCAGGCCTCGGTGGATCGGCGAGGGGCTGGAGTGGAGGGAGTGGAGGGAGGACAGGTCCGGGTCCCACGGCCCCGAGAGGCTGAGTCCAGGTCCAGGCTGCTGCAGGAACCCCACGAACACCACGCCCTGCTCCGCCACATCCTGGATCTGACACAAACACACACAAAAACACACAAAAACACAAAAACACACAAAAACACAGGGATCTTAGAATGAGCAACCAGGAGCATGTTCTAGTCCTGGTCTGGTCCTGGTTTGAGTCCAGTTTAGTCCTGATTTAGACTTGGTTTGGGGAGTTTTACACTTCTACACTGCAAAAAAGCTCGGCCAAAACACTTAAATCTATCAGAAAATGACTTTAAAACAGTGAAATGATCTGTCCATGCAGCAAGATCATTTTACTTGACAAGTTCTCTTAAAATAAACGACCTCCAGACGAGAATGAAGCATCTCAGAACTTGTAAGTCGATCATAAAACTGAAAACAAGATGAATAACTTGATATAAGTTTTAAAATCTTGCCCAGATCAGAGAAATTTGCAGTGTGTGTGTCATATATTCAGACACATTACAGATTTAGATCATTGTGTTTCCTTTTTCTGTTTTGAAAATGTTTTATTTGCCGAAAACAACGAATTAACATGTTGTTGATGCTCTGAGTCCCTCCTCCCTTTGCTCTCCGTGCACACACTCCCCCTTCAGAGCGTAATCACAACACAATTAGTGTGGATCCAACTACTGTAATGAAACTACTGCACATCACATCAGGTTTGTAAAGCTGTAGAGAGTTGTGATTCATGTTTTTGTAAACTGTAGTTTTCATACATAAGAGTCCGGTCAAGCAGAAGTAAACAACAAGGCCAAAACATTCAGGTTAATTAATCTTATATAAAAATGTATTGAACAGATATATATGTACTCTAGTTTATGAAACTGTTGACCTTTTTTCTGTACCATTTTTGGTTCTAAAGTTCCATATGTTTTAAACAGACCATGTATGAAACATGGAACAAAAATTATTTCCCAAATTTCAAAGACCCAAAAATCATGTAAATAAATGGATGTATTTCATCATATCTTGTGTTATTCCATCTTTGAACTGTTGATGAAAGTACATGATTTAAAAAAAAAATATTTAAAATGATAAAAATTTGCTTGGAAGGACTGACATATTTTATAGAAAAGCTGACAAATGATGTAAAATCCTGCACCTTCTACTTGTTTGTACAATTTTCCCTCCGTTACTTTTCCCTCCGTTACCATGAACTTTCTTAATAAAAATCTCATGAGTCAAAAAGTAAGAGGTTTTTCAACCTAATCTTGTACCATATGGTAGAAAACTATATGAAGCAAATATTCAAACCAGTTTGTTAAGGATATGTAAGTGAGAACCAAGAGTTATCACTGTTTGGATTTATTGACCAAAAAGTGCTGCATATTTCATTCCCTCCGTTACCGACATGAGTTTTTTAATTTTTTGTCAACAACTTGAAAGAATATCACACAGGTTTAACTTGACCCTGTTGGAGTGTAACTCTTTCCTACATTCTGATACTTTACTTATTTCAATAGTCCACAGGTGTCAAACATAAGGCCCGGGGGCCAGATCCGGCCCTCCAAGACCTTTAATGTGGCCCTTGGGTGATTTTCTACTAAAATATTTAATTATATTTTCTATTAAAATCGTTGTTAATTTTCTGTGGTGTTTATCACAGCAGCGTCTCCAGCGTCTCTGTACGTGGCCCCTCCCACCAGAGCAGCACAAATGAAGACTTGTCTCTTTCCAAACGCTCTTAAAGGACGATCGTTTAGACTGTTGACCGTGACACCCTCATCAGAAAAATGTCCAACATGAGAAAAGTGGAGCCGAGTGCAGGATTTTTACAACAAAAATTGGAACTTATTCCTGTTTACATACAAGTTCATGTTAAAACATTGTGTTGAAATTGTAATTTTTTCTTAAAGTTTCAGGTTGTTCATAATATTATACATATTATATTAGAAAGAGTTCATCAATTAAAAAAGATTTCTGTAATAGATTTGTGTTTCTCTGCACAAATATTTGAACTTATTGTTATTTTTGGGGTTTATGACATGAGTTTTCTGATCCGGCCCTTTGGGATCAAAGTAGGTTGGATACGGCCCCTGGACCAAAATGAGTTTGACACCCCTGCAATAGTCCCTCTAGTTTCTGAATAAGAGACATCTGAATGTAAAAAATCTGCCCCTGTTTCCCTCCGTTACCACTTGACCTGGACCCATAAGTCTCACCAGATTGTAAGGAGCATTAAGCGAAACAAATGGACGACACTTGAGACCGATCCTTAGTCCAGGCCTCCACAATCCATCAGCAGATCGTGGTGTAATTCGCCCGGCATTGCCTCCATGTCTCGGTGAATGTGGATTACTCCGGGAGGCTCCTGACCACGGCAGCTGTAACACTCCATCAATCCATCAAGTGGTGCGGCTTCGTAGTAGATCCCTGCACTCCTGTGGGAGGCTCATGGGACCCGCGGGACCTGACGCAAATCAGTGCAGGGCGGGTGGGATGATAAACTGCAGTCCCGCAAACTAAATATAAGTGTCAGGGAAGTGTCGTCCTCTTTGGGTAACCTTTTGGGGTTTAAAGTTCAGATGTTTGAAGAAAACACCAAAACAAAGGCCAAAATATGCACAGTTTAAAGTCTTATATTACACAAAAATGACTCTTGTGAACTTTTAATCATGTTTTAATGTTGTTCCCTCTTCACAAACAGACCTGGAGTTGTGTTTTGTTTCATTCACATGTTTGAGTAACTCTTTATTATTAGTCTCAAATGCTCTGTTCCACCTTGTGATGTCATGAAGCTGTCGTTTTCAAGTGAACAGCTTTTTTTACCTTTAGTTCAGCAGAGATTTGAAACTCGAGGGCTGAAATTATCCCATTGATTCTAGTGAAAGTGTGTGGAATCAGTTTGAGAGAAGAACTCAGCGTAAATGTGCAGGTTTGTGTGTTAAACATGTGAATGAAACAAAACACAACTCCAGGTCTGTTTGTGACGAGGAAACGACAACAGAGATCAGAAAACAGTGTAATAGGAGCCCTTTAAAGTGAAAGAAACAAAGCAACACTAAATATGTTTATAACGAGGAAACAACACAACAGTTAGGCAGATGAAAATGTCCATAGATTATAATGTATGACATTTGTAATCTGAAATGACAAAGGGGCTAATAGGACCCGTGTGGCAGCCTCACACAGACCCGGCTCATTTAGACACAAACAAAAGCAGCAGCACCAGACCATAATACTCCTAA